CTAAACTCAAACCCTAAACCCAAAACCCTAAACCCTAAACCCAAAACCCTAAACCTTAAACCCAAAACCTCCCGTGGCCTTGCTCAGCCCCTTGCGCCCGAGGTCTATGCACACCATAAACCTGGAACCCTGGGTTTCTGGGGCTTGCGACTTACGGCTCAGGGTGTAGCGTTTAGGGGGATTTAGGGTTTAGGGTTTTTAAGATTTAGGGCATAGGGCTGTTAAGATTTAGGGTTTAGGGTGTTTAAGATTTAGGGTTTAGGGCTTTTACGGTTTAGGGTTTAGAGTCAGGCTACAGGCGCCTGGGGTCACCAGATGTCTGGGTTCAGGGTTCAAAATGCGACGAAACTCGTGGTTTGGGCCTCCGAACTCCTAACGTAGGAGCCTTAAGAATTAGAATAGGGTTTTGTGGGTTCCTGGAATTACTATAGTATAGTATACCCCACAACCCTATTCATTTCTCAAGGCCTTTCTCTTATTCCAGACTTGGTGGTTCACGGCCATGGGGCACGGGGCTTCTATAACGAAAATCCCAACAGCACGCCCAAATCTACCCTCACCAAACCTCAGAAGATTTGTGGGGATTTAGTGGTCTGAGAGTTGATCAACCTCGGCCTTTCAAGATTTCTGGACATTTCGGGACGAACGTCTGGGGGTTAGGAGCCCAAAAGAGACCAAGCTTATTGGGGCTTGGGGTGCGGGCTGTGGTAGTTGGGGGTTCAGGGGCTTCTGCTCTACATCGGGCTTCGGGTTCCGGTGTTAGCATTCAGGTCTAGGGGGTTTGCGAGTTGGGGTTTAGGGGTTTAGGGTTTAGGGTTTGCGAGTTTGTCGAATTTCATAGGTTTGCGAGTTTGTTGAATTCCATAGGTTGTTACGAGAATTTATAGGTCTTATGACGGAGAGAATCTATCAAGACTCAACGTTTGGAGGCTCTTTGGCTCCAAGCTTTTAGCGCTTAGGGTTCAGGGCTTAGGGTTTAGGGTTTAGGGCTTCCCTCAACCCTAAACCCTACTAGGGCTGAGGGATGCTCTTAGAGCCTGGGCCCCATGGCCACTCCTCCCCAATCCGAGCACATTCATCCCTCAGCCGACTGCAGCAGACAGCTGAATACTTCACCATGATATTTCTTACGGCTCCTTGATTGTAATCAGCATATAATGGAACCCAAAACCCTACTCCACTTCTCAAGGTCCCTAAATTAATTGCAGACGGCTGTATTCCCAGCGTGAACATTCCACGTTGCAGAAGTTTTCGCGTAGGAGATACACCGAAGGGTTCAGGTGCCCCAAAGAAGCACCGCAGATATCAAAGCACTAGTGCTGAGCCAGAGTTTGATTAGGCTAAAGGTTCGGGGACCCAGTAAAGGAAGCCTGCAGCGAGCCCTATAAATGCATTTATAAGGGCTTGGGGTTGAGAGTTCGGGATTTTCGGGTTTAGCCTGAACCCCGGGACACGCCGCAACCTCAAAGGGCTGCTCGATTAAGCAGCCCACTTTGGAGGCTAAAATTTTCATCTTTAGGGCTGAACAGGGACACTTTGGTCCGCTCGCTTCACATGGGGCGGTTCCGACAAAGGGGACCCTGATGAGTGGGATCTCAACCGTGTGGGGGCTTAGGGTTTAGGGTTTAGGGTTTAAGGGGTCTGGTGGTATTGGGTTTCAATCAGAATGACAGGCTAGAAAGTCCCCCTGCTTGCGGAAACGCGCCTGTGGATGAGAGCTCCATGTCAACTTTATAAGGGTTCAGGGTTTAGGATTGGGGGGGGGTTCAGGGTAGGGTTTAGGGATTAGGCGTTAGGGTATAGGGTGTCAAAAATAGGATTGGGGCTCCAGACGTACGGTTGGAGGTACACGGCTGAGTCGTTCAATTCACAGGCTTTGGATGTTGCTTGAGGCGTAAGGCGTAAGGCTTGCTCGCGACGGTGGTTGCAGGAGTCAAGGACAATGAGCTCCAGGGAGAATACTACGAAAGAACGGCTGGGAGATACGGCACAACACTGTAAAGCTTGCTGATAAAGCAGAAGCAGACAATATCTGCAAAGCGACTTAAGGTTGGAAGAACGCATATACAGGGAACTCGAGTTTGTCCAAAACCGATCTCTCCCAACGGCAACCAACGCCCAGAGGCATCTGGGTGTGTTCGTGGACAGATGCTTTCCTGTCGAATTCAGAGCCATCAGAAGTCACGATCTTGCTCTCCCCCCCCCACCCCGAGGGCTGGCCGTTCGTGAACACTTCCCTGGCACGCGATGCAGACATCTGAAACACCCCAAAGCTGCCCTAAAAACAAAGTAAACCCTAGAATGGGGGTTTGGGAGATATTCTGCCATTATGTATGTGTGAGTCTGTCTATATATATATATATATACATATATGTATATGTGTGTATATATACTGGTTGATGGTAGACGAATCTTGCGTTTGCCTGATCATGACCAAGAAGCACGCTATGGTGATCTTCAAGGTCTGGGCTTCGGGTTAAGGATTTTCGGTTTAGGGCGTTGGGACTCCACCCCAACCTCGGTCATGGGCATCTGGGCGTACAGCACAGGTTGCGCTTGGGATAGTCGTATTGCAGGTTAATAGTCATCGTTGGCGGGTATGAAGTACAAGCAGCCGGGTTAGAGACCGAGTTCGAAGCCCCCTAAACCCTAAACCCTTAATTAAATCAGACCATACAAAGACTACCTGGACCCCGAAAGTATGTAGAATAATGGCCCTTTAGAGGTTTGGGCCATTATTTTGCTTACTTTCCCCGCTTGAGAGATTCAAGGGTTTAGGGCTTACGGTTTAGGGTTGAATTGAAAACTCTCGACTGCAGCCCAGGAGCCCACGCTATCTCCAATCTCCAACGTCGCAGGGTTCCAGTCGATAGGAAGGAGCTCTTCCCAGTTATAACCTTACGTGGTTAGGGTTTAGGGTTGAGGGCTTCCTTACGTGGGTTTAGGGCTTTGGGTTTAGGTCCAGTGTGAATGGTCCAGGGCCCGAGGCTTTCAGCGTTTGTGGTTTTTGTTTTACAGCTTGACGGGCTAGGGATAAGGAGGGGTTTCAGGGTAACTTGGGTGCTTGGCTTGCAGGCTTATTTTGCATCCGCTCAAGATAGGGACCTCGATAATTACCAATACTACGTTGGGAGTAGCCTACTATAATTATAGTATAATGGCCCCAAATTCGTATTCTAATTTGTAAGGCCCCTAGATTATTGGAGGTGTACGCCTGGCGGGCTTAGAAGTTGCATTCAGGCATTAAGGGTCAAAGGCATGAAGCTAACTGCGCTTACTACTGTAGGGCTCAGGGTTCAGAGCTTAACGAAACTATATGCAAGCTGACTGCACTACACTGAACCAATACTCGGGAACCTAAACCCAAAACCCAAAACCCTAAACCCCAAACCCAAAACCGTAAACCCTAATCAAGGAATGTTAACTGCACCGCACCGACCTCGAAGTGCCAAAATCCTACTTTGGGCTAGGATCCGTGACAACGCTATCCTAAACGGTTTAGGGTTTCGGGTTTAGGGCTTAGCGTTTGGGGTTTAGGGTTTAGGGCTAACTGTTCGTCACCGGAACCTGTGAGGGGAGGATGCGCCCTAAACCCGAAACGCTGAACCCCGAGCCCTAAACCGAAAATCCCAAACGCACCCAAGAACCCCGAACCCTAGAAATATACTCGAAACCCTGAACCCTAAAACCCGAAAGCCTTGAACCCTAAACCCTAAACCCTGAAGCTTAGAGATACTACTTTGAACCGTTCTGGGCAGCCGGACGGTGTGCCATGCCATCAAAGCCATAGCAAAGGGATTTGGGCACCTGGAGAGGCTCAGGTTTCATCCCTCGAAATCCACCACCTTCGTCAAACTTCGAATCCTGAAACCCTGAACCCTTAACCCTGAACCCTTAACCTTAAACCCTAAACCCTAAACACCCTCAACCCTAAACCCTGAACGCCCTAAGGCCTAAACCCTAAAATCCCAAACCCTGAACACCCTAAGCCCTAAAACCCTAAAGCCCTAAAACCCTCATGCCCGAACCCTGAACACCCTAAAGCCCTAAAATCCTAAAGCCCCAAACCCTAAACCCTGAACGCCCGAAACCCTAAACCCTGAACACCCTAAACCTTGAACACCCTATAAACCCTAAACCCAGAACATCCTAAACCAGAAGGCCCTAAAGCCCTAAAGCCCTAAAACCCTCATGGCCGAACCCCACACCCAGAACCCTCATGCCCCAACCCCGGCCTGAACGTTACGGCCCTTCTGGAACCCTTCTGCCGGTTTATAATAGGCTTTAGGGCTTAGGGTTTAGGGCGTTTAGGGTTGAGGGTTTAGGGTTTAGGGTTTTGGGTTTAGGGCGTTCAGGGTTTTGGGGTTGAGGGTGTTTAGGGTTAAAGTGACCCCCCCCCCCCCAATAAGCCTCAGCAGGCACCTGGGCTTAGGATTCTAAGTAGCTTTGTAGGTTGTCTAGCATTTCAGGGAGCGTTCGGGAAATCCTGTAGTACACACACACACACACACATATATATATATATATATATATATATATATATATATTATATATATATATATGTAACCTAGCAAAGCCCTGCAACACACTCCAGAAGGGACCCTACGACACCCCCAAGCCCGAACGCCCCCACCTAAACCCCAAACCCTGAACCCGAAATCCGAAACCCGGAAACCCTAAATCCTAAACCCTAAACCCTAAATCCTAAACCCCAGACCCTAAACCCTCGACCCTAAATCCTGAACCCTAAACTCTAAACCCTAAATCCTAAACCCTAAACCCCAAACCTCAATCTCCCCTTTCTTGGGAAGACCTCCTCGCTGGTAGCGAAGGGCTCTGCCGGAAATGCTTTTGGCAGCTCCTTGGGTTCTACTATGCTTGGGGAAGCATGTTAGTCTAGGGTTTAGGGTTAAGGGTTTAGGGCTTAGGGTTTAGGGTGTACCCTAAACCCTAAACCCCTAAACCCTAAAACCCCACAGAAAAACGATACCCTAAACGGCCCTAAACCCTAGAGGGTTTAGGCGGTTTCTTGTTGGCTTGAGTGAGGGCATCTCCTGTTTTGCAGGCCGAAGGCTGATGGCGTTGAGACAGGGTTGAAAGTTCAGAGTTTAGGGTTCAGGGTTTAGGATTTAGGGTTCAGGGTTTAGGGTCTAGGATTTAGGGTTCAGGGTTTAGGGTTCAGGGTTTAGGGTCTAGGATTTAGGGTGTAGGATTGTAGGCCTGGGGCTTTAGGCTCCAAGCTTTGAGCTTCTCTGGCCATCGAAAGCCCAAGCTTGAGGCTCATGTTCGGCCTTTCTAGGACTTTCGGATGCCTGCCCGAGGCGGAACAAGGGATGAGCGAACCTAGCCAGGACGATTCTGCAGAAAGCTTTGCATAGGGCGGACAGTTCTGTGGGCTTTGCGCCTTAGTGGGTTTAGGGTGTAAGGGCTTTGGGCTTGGGGTCCTAGGGTTCAAGGTTTGAAGGTCTACTGTAGTGCGAGGGCCAAGACACCACCCCTGAACTCGCAAACCTGCTGTGGAGTCATATAGGGTTTTGGGTTGAGCGCTGGGGGTCTGGAGGCGTGACCAAAGAGAACAGAGATTCAGGTTACAGTCGACTGTATGCGATCTACAACATTGCTGATGCTTCCATCTGCAGGTCATCTTCGTGCTGCAAAGATCTAAGATGGTCGGCTCACATGCCGGATTACCACAGGATTACAAAGCCCTCCTGAGATCCCTACACTTCAACCCCAACATCCTAGACTGGTCCTAGACTCCACAACACCACACCTAAATCGGCAAAGCCTGATGTGCCAAAGGCCCGAAATCCCAGAAGAGCCGGTCCTCCGAAGCGGACAACTTCAAACCCGAAAGTTCCCTGTGCTTCTGGCCTGACTGATTTTTCGGTTTCCAACAATAAACAACCCTAAAGCGTCATCTGCATCCACATCCTTCAACACTAAACTACATCAACCAAGACACCAGCCAGCTCTCGCTGCTCACATGAAGGGGGGCAGAGGAGACAAGCCCAGACTAGCATCGAAAACACCGGCATTGGCCATTCACACTCATTTAGCCTTGACTGAACAGCTCTCCTAATCCCCAAACCCTAAACCCTAAACCCTATAATTAACGAGATTGAGGCGCGAAGGCCACTCCGATTGTCAAGCCATCCGCAAATGCGGAAGTGACGTCCTCGATGCCTCACAGCTTGATACAGCTTGGAGGTTTTGGGCCTTGCGGGGTCTAGGATTTAGGATTTAGGGTTTAGGGTCTGGCGGCAAGGCATTTCTGGGCCTTGGGGTCCAGAGGGAGTTGCAAGGATTTAGGGAGCGCGTCTACCTACCTGTGCTTATGTTTTGCTGCTGCCCGCTGCCCCCGAGGCTTCAGCGGCTTGCGGATTTTGGGGATTGCAGGAAACCTACCCAGCACCAAACAGAATACAGATCCATCTTAAAGCCTGAGCGACCTCTGAGCCATGAACAGCCAACGCTCTGCACATCCCACGAGCTTCTGGCAGAGATGTAACTTTTTAATTTGGCGCCTGATCAGTTCCCGCTCTCTTGACGGTCTGACTAGATAACAGTCGTTATTCGGGGACCCGGGAAAATGAATCAAGGGCTTACAAACCTTAAAGCCTAAACACTGAACTCCAAACCCTAGAGCCGTGCACCGAGGAACGGCTTCATGGAATCCCGCAACCCCAAAGTCCTGAACCCAACCTTAAAAAACAAACTCCTCGGTTTACTACTCCCACCCCGTATCCCAAGTACATCGACTCCAAATCCTCAGTAAGTCCCCCACACCCAAACCCCGAAACCCGAAGCCCCCCAAGACTTTGCCGACGAAGCTCAAACTTCAAAATATCGAACGCCGGCATCTGCGCGCAGCGGCCCGTCCCCAAAGAGGACAGCTCCTGTGCGATGCTGCCAATGACCAGGGCTCTACATCGGTGGTTGTCAAAACTGGGGTCCCTTTTTGGGTCCCCAATATAGTGTACGGCGCCCTTATAAAAAGGCACCCTAAAAGGGACCCTAATTTAGAAAACTACTCACATCGGTAATTTTCAAAACTGGGGTCCCTTTTGTGGAATAGCTCTACTCTGAATATGGCACCCTATAGTTTGGGACCCGAAACAGGACCCTAGTTCTGACAACCACCCACATGGTTTTATACGGAGCTGTCAAAAAGTCTATACGCCCGGAAGCCCTTTTTCGTTCCTAAGCAGGACTTCTACACACTCTGTCTCTTAACTTGGCCGTGCGCGCAGTCATACATAAAAGCAGCAACGCAGAACCCGCTGCACTCAACCGAGTTTAGGGTTTAGGGCTAGGGTTTAGGGTTTTGGGTTTCGGGTTTACTCAAAACCTCGACCAGCAACCCGAACGCCAAACCGCAATGGAAACCCCACGCTAGAAACCCAGCGCTGCAGACCCGAAAAAACACGCACAATTCCACATTAAGAGCCACCCCCTCTTGGGCTCGCCCCGGGAATAACGAAACACACTTCCCACTTTTCCCCTGCTCGCCGCACCTAGGCCGGCACCTTTTGGATGCACACCTGTGTTCAGTATTGTTGCTATTAGGGTTAGGGTGATACCTTAAGAACCCAAAACCCACTTTTTTGTAGGTTCTTATTATAAACCCTAATATGGGAATTTATAGGGACCCTACAAAAAAGTAGGTTTTGGGTTCTTAAGGTAGGGTTCGGGATTTGTGAAAAGGATGTTGGGCACAGGGTGTGGAACTGTCAATCTGCCGGGAATGCCCAAGCACCACAAGAGCGGCTTGCAACTCAACGGTCGTAATGTAGGGGCCTTAATAATTAGAATAGGGTTTTGGGGGCTCCGTATTATAACTAAAGTGTAATCTACCCCAAAACCCCATTCATTATTCAGGCTCCTATGTTACCATGATTTTGGACTACAGGTCAGGGAGAATCACAGTTCCTCAAAGTGCCAAGTATAAAACCACGAACCCTAAATCACAGAACACGGAAATCCAACAGTTCTGCAAACTTCCGACGCATCCAAACATACAGAAAAAGACACCCTAAACCCTAAATCCTAAAACCCTAAACCCTAAACCCTAAACCCTAAACCCTAAAACAAAAACCCTCGTGGCTCCCGGAAGCCCCGAAGGCTCGGGGTGGCGGGAAGTAGTAGCTGCCTGAAGGTGCTGTTCTTTCAGGCATACCTGAACCCCCAGGTTTAGGGTTTAGGGTTTAGGGTTTAGGGTTTAGGGTTTAGGGCAAAAGGAGGCAAAATGATGGCTCAAGACGCATAAAAGGCTATGATTCTACATACTTCTGGGGTCCAGGTAAGCTGTTGGAGACATCTGAGACATCATTTTTATTAGTCATGGACGGATACAAGGAACATGACTGTAAGAGGCCAAGTACCTAATAGGGGTAAGTTTAGGGTTAAGGGTTTAGGGTTTCGGGTTTATACTCACCGAAATACTCGTCATTTGGGCCCTGAACCCTAAACCCCTCAACCCTAAACCCTAAACCCCTAAACCCTAAACCCCTAAACCCTAAACCTCTGGAAGAGAGTCCCTACTGTAGCAAGGCCGGGATCCGGGCCGGTACGTCTCGCAGCGCTGCCCTTCAAGGTGACCACGGGGCTCAGAAGGGCGCGACTGAAGCCACCGAACCTGCATGGGGTTAGGCTTTTGGCTTTTGCGCAGGGTTTAGGGTTTAGGGTTTACGCTTTGGGTTTAGAGGGTTTAGGGTTTACGGAAGCCACCAAGCCAAGCTCATTGATTTGCTTGGTTGGCTCGGGCCGGACTAGGGTCCTTCCGGGGTTCTGGCGGGTCACTCGGTGAAGGGTTTACCTTAACCCCAAAGACCCTACCTTTTGAAGTTTGAAGGACTTATATAAAGAACCTATAGTAAGGAAACCTCAAAAAGTATAGGTTATTTGGGGTCCAGGTAGGGATAGACTAGGCTAGAGGCTTCGGGCTCGGTTGAGAGAGTTTGGGCTTCAGGGTTTCGATGTCAGGGAAAGCCCCAAACCCCTTAATACTCTTGTCTCGTTTGATCGAAACTATCCCCTAAACCCAAAACCCTGAACCCTAAACCCTAAGTGCGCCCTGATCCGACGCCTGTGATCTGGTGGCTTGGCACCAAGATCCAGAGAAATCCTCAGACAGAAGTGGCTTGTGTGTAAAAGCGTGAGGGATCCTTTAAGGGTTCCATTAGTGGTCTCGTTCAGATTCTAGACGGGTCTGGGGTTTACGGCTTCCTTAAAGCCCGCATGGTTTCAACAGATTCGATTATTTGCAGTTCCATCAAGGTTCCATAGCGGGCCGTTGCAGGGGTTTTCTCAGGGTTTCCACAGTAATCTAATAACACTTTCTTTGTCTTATCTTCAGCTCTCGCACGGTACAGACAACACAAAAAAGGGCTTGCGGGGACTGTTGCGCACACCAACATTAAGTCTGCAAGCGCCTCCGATTGGGCTCATGGGAACTTGAACAAGTCTAGCCGTGTCCTCCGGTCTCAGGCTTGTTTTGGCTCCAGTTTGTCGTCTCAGACCGCCGCAGCTAGTTGAGACCACATTTCTCAGCTCCGAAGCCGACGACCCCAACCCTAAAACCTACACCCTTTAAGGAGCCCTAGACCCTATAAACCCTTTAAGGAGCCCTAGACCCTAAACCTTTTAAGGAGCCCTAGACCCTAAACCCTTTAAGGAGCCCTAGACCCTATAAACCCTTTAAGGCGGAGCCCGAGACCCTATAAACCCGTCCTAGACCCTAAACCCTTTAAGTAGCCCTAGACCCGATAAACCCTTTAAGGAGCCCTAGACCCGAAACCCTTAAGGAGCCCTAGACTCTAAACTCTTTAAGGAGCCCTAGACCCGATAAACCCTGTAAGGAGCCCTAGACCCTATAAGGAGCCCTAGACCCTAAACTAAACCCGTAAACCCTATGTCCGAAATCCTAAAAGCCGCAACAGCAACACCTAAACCCTAAACCCTAAACCCCAAACCCCTGAACCCTAAACCCTAAACCCTAAACCCTAAACCCTAAACCCCTAAACCCCGGAATTTTCCAAGCGTCGCTGTCGCACGTTGCCCGAAGTCCACGAAGGGGAGGATCGCTGGGCTGCTGGGGAGATTTCCTTTCAAAGAGGCCCCGGAGGTTTGGTTTAGGGTTTAGGGTTTAGGGTTTAGGGTTTAGGGTTTAGGGTTTAGGGTTTAGGGTTTGGGGTTCAGGGTTCAGGGTTTAGGGTTTGGGGAATGAGAGCTTGATATGTAGATAGAATGAATGGGTAGGTTATAAGCCCTACCTGTATAGTCTCCATTGTAGTTCCTTTTTTCGGTTTAACCAATTTTCGATTAAGGATCTTATGAGGTATCCCCAAAAAGGAACCACAATGGAGACTATAGGTAAACCCTAAACCCTAAACCCTATTATAGTCTATTTCAGACCTCCACGTCGATCGTTTTAGGGTTTAGAGCTCAAGGATCTGTAGGGGTTCGGGATTAGAGGATGCGGAAGACTCACTTCGGGGTTGCTTGAGGGAGAGAGAGATTAAATTAGGGCTTCAGAGATTAACGACTTAGGTTTTAGGGTTTAGGGCTTAGGGTTCAGAGACTTACGACTTAGCTGTGGGCTCACGGCTTTCGAGGTCACGCCGTCACAGAAACCCTCCCAAATCTTAAGATATAGAAGCTGCAAAGAGCAGACTGTCTCTCATCCTTCTCGCATCCTCATCTGTTTCCCGATGTAATGAAGCCTACCTGCAGTTTCCATTGCGGTTGGTGTTGTGTGGCCTTATCGTAAAACCACGAGGCCAGAAGGGCTACTTACAATGGAGGCGAGAGGTCACCCATGATGCCCCATAAGGGCTCCTTTAAGGCGTCTGTCGATGAGGGATACTTATAAGGGTTCCGGTAAGGCATCCATCAGGGCTCCCTTTAAGGGTTCCTATACGAGCCTTTGGCAGATGGACTCCGGGGTCCTGGGATGCTTAAAGCTCATAGACTCATGATCTAAACCCTAAACCCTAAACCCTAGACCCTACTTAAAGAAGATGTCAGTCGCCAACCCCGAAATACCAACTCCAGGACAGCAGGGTCCTACGTGCTTACATGAAGGATACTTTATGTAATCCTGGATCCTTAGCTCCACCATGCAATGTGGGTAGTTCTCTAAACTAGGGTCCGCTTAAAAGGTCCCCCTAAACAGTACGGCGCCCTTCTGAAAAGCCCCCTTAAAAGCGACCCTAGTTAGTTTAGCGAACTACCCATATTGAAACCCTACTTTATGCATTTCGTAGGTGTTTAGGATCATGTGGCCAACCGGCTAAGCTCCATCAGTAAGCTGCCATGGTTCAGGGGCGTAGGGGGTTTAGGGTTTAGGGTTGCACGCTGTCCTGCCACATCACGCACCACGTAGCGGCCATTGATGCAGAGTGAGAGGAAACCATTCGGCGCCATCAAAAGCCTCCAGGGGTCTGTCAAATAAGAACTCGAGGCATGTTTATCGTATGCTTGCGCCAGGACTACAACAGAAAGGGGATGATAGTGCAAATTGCTCAGACCCCTATATTTAGCTTCTTGCGGAGGTGAAGGCTGGGCTGGAAAGGTACTGCCTGTTCCTGACGCCTACACCAACTAGTGCCTAGAGGAATTTGGTGTAGAACCCTAAACCGGCCTCAACTACCCACTGTTATGAGGCTTATAAGGATACACCCTCGAGCTGAGGGGTGAGAACCCATCATGATGCAGGGCTTGAGCCCTTCAGGTGCAGAATGAGAAACACGATTACAAAATAGTACCGCTAATTACTTGGGCCCCTACATTACTTACAAAGACCCCAGGGTTGAGGTCTGGGTTAGCTAGGGTTTAGGGTTCAGGGTTTAGTGTTTTTGACGGCCCCTTCCTGATATGCCAGAGGTAGGGGATGGGGTTAGGGTTTAGGGTTCTTTTGAGGCCACATCCTGAACCTCCCCCCCAACAAAAACGCGCACAAACACATCACAACAAAGCAAAACTAAAAGCCATGAGGCGCGAAGCTGTAGCCTCAAGCTCTAAACACTCTAATCCCAACACCTACAGTAGAAGCCCAAAAGTTGGAAACCCAATAGCCTCAATCCCTAAGAGTAATGTACAAGCAACCCCAGCACTACTTGTCCTTGAACTGGTTTCCAACTTTTTGGGGTTTACCATAAACCAGCTAGCCCCTACACCCTCAACCCTACACCCTGAACTCTGATCCCAACACCCAAAACCCAAAGCCCTCACTTGTCGAGGTGCCCCATGGTATCCCCACTTTGCAAAGCGCTGGGCGACCACTCCAAGCTCAAAGGCTCTGATCCTTTTGGCTTCGGCTTCGCAGAGCTGTTTTTGCTTGTTGTGTTTAAGGGGCCTTTTTCTGTCGCTTATAGTTTAGGGTTCAGGGTTTATAGGGTTTAGGGGAATTAGAGAAGGGTTTTTTGGGGGTGTATTAATTAATTAGAATAGGGTTTGGGGTATATTAATATTTAGAAAAGGGTGTTTGGGGTATAGTAGTCAATAGAATAGGGTGTTGGGGTATATGAATGGGCGCCGTACAAAAGGTTGTGGGTTATATCGCATATATACATATTTAGCAACGGCAGTTTTGGTGGCCGTAACAATTAGAATAAGGTTTTGGCATTCTAAGTCTAAATATGGGAGTTTCCGGAAATTAGGGTACCTTATTTTGGGGTCCTTATAATAGGGATCCTACTATTTAGGGTACTACATTAGGGTCGCCTGTCTTCGGCAACGCCCATGTAGGGACAATGTTGGTGTTGCAACTATTTCGGCTTCGGGTTAGGGGCTTTCGACGTGTAGAGTGTTTGTGCTTTAGGGTTTACGGCTTAGCTTAGGCGTTAAGGGTGCCTATTGCGAAACATGTTTCAACAAACATGCAAGCTCTCTTTCTGAGTGTTTGCAGCGATGACACATGTCCCAAACGGGGTTTCAAAAATTCCAGCAAGGTTTGGGAGGGGGTATATTATGCTATAGACATATATACTGTAAGAACTACAAAAGGATGTGATTGCTAGTCACCCCGACCCCCTTAACTTAAAAGTGCAAGCGGCATTGGGTCCTAAAGACTTCATTGTTTCATACAGTTCCGGAGCAATTCTAGGTCGAGACACAGCCGGTAGAAGCCCAAAAGGGTTTGGGGTTTACGGGGTTCGGGCTTAGGGTTTAGAGTTGGGGTTTTTGTTTCGCGTTTACCGTTTCTGAAGTTTCGATTTAACGCTTTGGGTTTTAGGCTTTCCATCAGCCGCAGACCACAAAGGAATCCAAACAGTTTTGCCAGAGTTCAGTGGCATGCTCGAACGTACTGCATCCGGATGGTGAAAGAAGGATGTTGCGATTTGACAGGGTCCCATGACCCTCCACAACAGTTTGCTGCTGAGGTCTGCGCGATGAGCAGTAGTGTACCTTTATACTGTATGCGTGTTCATACATATATATATATATATATGGTACCCCCCCCCCCAGGACCTACCTCCAAACCTGT